CAGTTAAATGACTTCTCAGCCTGCCAGGAGATCGGGGCATTGTGTGGGGAGCTGAGCCAGGCTCTGCAAGAGGTAGGTGCACAGGGGCCAGGCTCAACACATGCCTAGGAGACCAGGCCAGGCAAGAGCTTTTTATAACCTGTGAATCAGAACAGGGTCAGGTGTGAGGACTGGGCAAGGGAGTGAACGCAGGAGGAGAGCAGGCCCTGCTGCTGGGTATGGGCCGATGGGGGCACAGGGTCTCCTCCTCTCTGGCAGAGAAGCTCAGAAAGGTGGCCAGCCAGGAGAGGGTGTGGGTGAGGGCATGCATATGTGGTGACTTCGGGTCTGAAACTCTGAAGCCTTATAGGGAAGCTGGGAAGGACAGTGGGGACCTGCCCTCCTGTGCTCTTAGGAAAAGGCAGCCCCCTCCCACCCTTACTCAGAGAGGCTCCTGTGTTTCGCTCTATTTCCAGGACTGCCCGAAGGCTGAAAAGAAAAGCAAAGTCCTGAGGATCGTGAGTAGGGAGGAGGGGCAGTAGGGTGGGAAAAGGTGGTGGTAGAATCAGGCTTATCCAACTTGTCCCTCCCCCAGTGCAGCCATGTGTCTGGAATCTGTCACAACATCCTAAACTGCACCCCCGAGGAGCTGCTGGAGCAGAAGGCTGTGCTACAAGAGGTGCAACTGCATGATCCTTCGGTGAGCCCTGGCCTGCCCCTCACCTCTGACCACTGGCAGCCTTGTCTGGGCCCTGAACTATAGTCTAGGGCAGTGGTGGTGAACCTGTGGCATGCATGCCGCCGCAGGGATCCAGACCCCTCTCTGTTGGCACACCATTCACCCCAGTAGCTGAGCATTGGATAACAGTTGTTTTTTCTAAACTAAAACCTTACTGTTGAGGTTTAATTTCAGTGCTGGCATGTTGCAGTAAGTGGGCTTTGGGATGCAGTTTGGGCGCTCAGGCTCCAAAAGGTTTGCCATCACTGCTATGGGGTCTCCAGCATCCTTTGCTGCTGCCTGGACGCTTAGCATGCACAGGTGTTAGAATGGAGGTCCAGCTGGGCACAGTAGTGCATGCCTGTAATCCCAGTTACTCAGGAGGCTGAGGCAAGAGGAGCACACATTCAAAGCCAACCTGGGCCACTTAGTGAGACCCTGTCTCAAAAATTTAAAGAACAGGGCTGGGGACATGGCTCAGTAGAATAAGCGCTTGCCTGGCAAGCACAAAGGCCTGAGTTTAATCCCTGGTTCTGCAAAAAAAAAAAAAAATTAAAGAACTTAGGTACTCACATCATACTTTGCAGGGTATGGTAGTGAATGTCTACAATTCTAGCATTTAGGCAACTGAGGCAGAAGGTCCCAAGTTCAAGGCCAGCCTGGTCTACATAGCAAGAATCTATCTCAAAAAAAGCCAAACAGAAAACTTTAAAAGAACTGGGTGGGGGGATGCGGGGAGATAGCTCAGTAGAATAAGCACTTGCCTGGCAAACGCAGAATCCTGAGTTCAATCCCTGGTACTGAAAAAAAAAAAAAAGAACTAGGGGTGTAGCTCAGGGGTAGAGGGTTTGCCCATCACGCAGAAAGTTCTGGATTCAACTCCTAGTTCCAAGCAAACAGGAAACCCCCAGGACCTACCTGTAGCCCCTTCCCCAGTCCTGAGGGGCTGTGCCAGTATGGGCTCAGGTTGCACATTCCAACCTTGTGACACAGGCCTAGCAGGGTCTCAGGGACAGATTAGGAAGAGGAAAAGATATGTGCTTTATTGCTTTAATCTTGACTGGTTAGGAGAGTCTGTGAACCTGGTATCTCAGAAATCAGTGACCCTGGCTTCCCTCTGGCCTTTTCAGAGCAGGAATCAGAGGCCCAGAGAGGAGTGGCAAGCCCAAAGTCAAGCAGCTAGTTGGGGCACTGCCAACTTGGGGCCAGCTCTATTCCCACCCCCGGTTTCCACCCACCATAGAGTCATGGGGCCCAGTGGCCCTGCTGGCCTCAGGCCCTCACTGACTGTAGCCTCTGTCTTTGCAGGGCCTGAAAATCCAAACCACCAGCAACTGCCTGCACTTTGTGTCCTGCGTGGGCACCCAGGTGAGAGCCCACACCCTTCTCAGCCCCCTTCTTTTAAAGTCCACGCACCAGCTCCAGGCACCAGAAAGCCCACTTTCTGGGTCTCACTCCCCCATCTCCACCGACTAGGTCTCCACCGACCCCCAGCTACAGATCCTGCCTGGAGATGAGGTGGTCCAGATCAATGAGCAGGTGGTGGTGAGTGAGGCAGGGTCTGAGTGGAGCCCTGGGCTAGCAGGTGGGGAGGGCAGTCCAGGTGCTGCCCTTTGGCAAGAACAGGGTTGTGATGCTGCCTGCCAGGATGTTCAGACCTGGCTTCCAGGTGAGAGCCCCAAATTCTTGCCAGCCATGCATCCCAAGGCCCTTGCACCTTCCTCTGCAGAGCTGAGGCGAAGGGGTTTACGAAGGCTCCCTGGAGGGAGATAAAGCAGCAGGAGGAAACTCAGGGAGAGCTCCAAGTGCAAGGGCAAGCGCTGGTGGGCTGCTTCAGAGCCTCCTGCCCAGCTTGATGCCAGCCTGGTGTCCCTGCCCTGTCCCTTGTCCTTGCTCCCCAGGTGGGCTGGCCCCACAAGAACGTGGTGAAGGAGTTGCTGGGACACCCTACCGGGGCCAGAGTCAGCTTAGTGCTGAAGAAGATCCCAGTGCCAGAGACCCCCCCACAGGTAAGCAGCCCCTAGCCCACCCTTACCTGCTTTCAGACTTCTCTTATTCCACTCCAGTAATCCTGATTCTGATGTTTCCTCAGACACCCCTCGACTCCCCTCACCTGAGAAGCCAGTCACTGGCCATGAGCCCCCTGTCTTCCAGGTAACAGACTCTGCCCTGGGGGGGGGTCTTTTTGTGGGGGGTCTGTGGGCTCATCTCATTTCTGTGTGCTTTTCACAGGGTCCCATCTGAAGAAGGCTTTGCCTTCAACCCAACTTCAGACCCAAGTCCTGCGCCCAGCCCTGCTTGGACAGGTAATGTCAAAGCCAATCAGGTAACAGATTCTCCCTAGCAAACCATCAGCATCTGGCTTGGACCACCACACTGACCTCCAGGCTTGGGACTGGGTTCATGGACCTTCCCAACCCCCCACCCCCACTTTCCTCCCTGACAGACTCTACCTCCCTTGAACACGAGCCCCTGCCCACCGCCCCTGCATCTCCAGCCACATTCCCAGCAGGAGCAGCAGAGACTCCCTGGTCCCCAGGACACCCTAACAAGGTAAGGTCAGGGGATCAGCAAGGAGAAGTGTGGGATCTGGATCTAGGCCTTCTCTAACCCCAGCATGTTCCTTTCAGCATTCACCCCTTGGTCGGAAGAAATCCAAAGGTATGAGTGCCCTGAGTGGGTGAGGCCACCCTATTTGAGGACTTCTCAGAAAGCTTGCTGTGCTGGGATGATGCCCCAACCGCTTCCCACACAGCCTCTGATCTGGGTCAGACAGGTCATGCTCCCAGCCAGGGTCTTTTATAGCTCTGTGATTTTGACCAAATGCCCGGTTCCCTGATCTTCAGTTGACTCATCTCTGAAACAGAGTCCTCCCTGCCTCAGAGATGACATTGGCAACATTCTGAGCCCAGAGTGTGATTTCATACATCTCAGTTGGGGATGCTCCAGAGGACGTCTGGGGTACGGGGCTGCCTCGCCATCTCTCTCCAACCTGGCTGTATTGTGCTCTTGCAGGCATGGCGACAAAGCTGAGCCGCCGGCGGGTATCATGCCGTGAGCTGGGCCGGCCAGACTGTGATGGTTGGCTCTTGCTGCGCAAGACACCTGGTGGCTTCATGGGTCCACGCTGGCGCCGCTGCTGGTTCGTGCTCAAGGGACACACGCTATACTGGTACTGCCAGCCCCAGGTGAGACCCTCACACTTACATAGCTAGCAAGTAAGCTGTTTGGGATATTTGATTCTTGTCTCTACTCCACCACCTACTCCCATGTGTTGTCAGTGGTGGGCCCCACCACTGACATATTTGTTCACTGACCTTTCAAGGCCTCAATGTTCCTGTCTGTAAATGAGGCTCTTTGGAAAGAAATGCTTTCTTGTGGTGTAAAAGATGTTTGGGGAGAGTTGGGCATAGTGGCACATGCCTGTAATTCCAACATTCTGGAGGCTGAGACAGGAGGTCACAAGTTCAAGGCCAGTCTGGGTTACATAATAAGCTTAAGGCCAGCCTGGACTACAGAGTGACACTCTGGACAATGTCAAAACAAATCAAAAAGTTTTAGAAGTCGTAGCTCAGCAATAGTATTGCGCTTAATATAAGGCTTTAGATTTGATTTCCTAGTAGCCCCCCAAAAAGTTTGGAGAGGGTATCATAAAAAATATAGAGAAAGTTGCTTTTATTCTAGCTATCTGTCCTCATCCTTCTGATAACTCCATCCATCCTAGTGATGAACCATTTGATCATTTTTCCATTCAACGTAAACCCAGCTCGGGACTGGACACTGAAGACACAGGAAATAACTGGGCAGTTTCTGTCCCTCCAGAACTTAGAGGCTGGCAGGGGAGAGGAATGAATACATTCTCAAGGACAACATGGCAGCCACTTTTTTAAAAAACCATTTATTTAAAAAAAAAAAACACTACAGTAACCTTGTAGTGTATAATTGGAAAGATATATGTTCTATGAGATTAAATTTTCTTGTTCAATGTAAACAAAACAAAACAAAAAAAACCCCACTTGTTAGCGTTTTAATGAGCCCCTTGTCCAGTGGCTTCAAGCTAACAGGACACAGCCCCTCCCCCCCCTTTAATCTTCTGCTCTTCTGCTGACGAATTTGGCTTTCACGATAACAGGCTGTGTTGGGAGCTTTCCCTTCCCGAGAACTTTGTAGTATCCCGATCGCACTCCATCAACGATGGGAGCTACTCCAGTCTTGTTTTTGGCAGCCTTTACTCCTGTCTGCTCTCTGACCAATGTCCACAATTTATCAAGGTTGGGCAGAAGCTCTGGTTTCTCTTTTGAGTGGTAATGCCTCATACTAACCTTCCCAAAGTAACCCGGGTGATACTTGTCGAAGTTGATCCTGGGATGATGAATGCCTCCAGCATTTCCCTGGCCTCTGGGGTGCTTCCGGTGCTTGGCAGTACGGCCATGGCCGTGGCTCACATGGCCCCGAAGCTTCCGGGTCTTCCTTAGTCTGGAGGGCATGTCGGCGGCCGAGATGAAAGCAAGGCCATGTATTAAGATAAAGGAAAAGCTTCAGAGATGTGTTTGAGCCCAGCAGAGGTGTTGTTCCTACCTGGAGGAGTCCAGAAGCTTCTCTGAGAAATACCTAGATGTTAGTCAGAGGAAAGAAAACCAGGAAGAGAAAAAGCATTTACACAGCTCATTGGTCCGAAGCAACTTCTTGGGTCTTTACAAAGGAACAAATGCTTAAGCAAGCTCCCCTTTCTTGGCTGCCTTTCCCTGCCTCTTCCCTTCTTCCCTCCCTCTTCCCCCTTTCTCTCCCTCTCTCCTTCCCTTCCTTCCTCTTCTTTTCTTCCTTTGTTGGAGGATTGAGCCCAGGGCCACTAGGTAAGTGCTCTACCACCGAGCTGCACCCTCAGCCATTGGCTTTCTCTGGAGGTCTCTGTTTCCCTTAACTGGCTCAGAGGTACTTCCTATGAACCCCAGAAACAGAGCTATGGTTACCACCCAGGAAACCCCATTTCCCCTCCACTTCCCTTGGGAGCCTGAGAGGTAACTAAGGAGCTGCCCAGGCCCGGAGGGCACCCAGCTTCCAAGCTGACCCTGCTTTCATCCCCTCCAGGATGAAAAGGCCCAGGGCCTTATCAATATCTCCAACTATAGTCTGGAAAGTGGACATGATCAGAAGAAGAAATAGTTAAGTCCTGGGGTATGACGGGCTGGGGGATGGGCAATAAAGAGTGGTGTGTGGGGTGGGTGCATGGCAGGTGGTGGGATTCCTGGTCCAGTCTGTCTGGGCTCTGGATGGGCACAGTGGGGCAGAGGCTGAGTAATGCCCTTCTGCTCCCTGGCAGTGTGTTTCAGCTCACACATGAGGTGTACAAACCCTTTGTCTTTGCGGCTGATACCCTCTCTGATCTGAGCATGTGAGTGCCCCCTGCCCCTGCCCTACTCTCACAAAGCTCCCAGCCTCTGAGTGGTTGGGAGCGAGGACCAAGTTCCAGGTCTCTGATAAAAAAGAAGTTGAGTTGGGCTTGATGATGCGTTCCTGTAATCCCAGCTACTGAGGAGGCTGAGGCAGGAAAATCTCAAATTCAAGTCCAGCCTGGGCAACTTAGGGAGTCTCTGTCTCAAAAAAAGAAAAGAAAAAAAGAAAAGAAAAAGAAAAGGGGTGGAAATGTAGCGCAGTGGTGGCGTTTGCCTAACATGGATGAGCCCCCGTTGACACCTACACAGGTGGGTCCGGCACCTTATTACCTGCATTTCCAAGTACCAGTCTCCAGGCCAGACTCCATCAGCTCGAGAAGAAGGTAGGTATCTCACAGGAGTGGGGAGAGGGAATTGGATCTCCTCAGAGCCTCTGCAGCCTTCCCCAACTGCTCCTGCCCACCCCAGACTGCTACAGTGAAACAGAGGCGGAGGACCATGATGATGAAGCTGGATCCCGCTCAGCCTCAGTGAGTAGGGGACCGCTCTGGGGTGGGAGGGCGGGGTGGATAGACAGGGCTCAGTCTGGGGCCCTTCTCTCCTTCTTTCCACTTGCAGCCCAACCCAGCACAGACTTGGAGCCCACTCCTCGGAGATACATCCCCCTCGGGCTCTGTGATGACGCAGCGCAGCCCACGGGCATCCCTGGCTGCCCTAACAGGTGCTGCGCTGAGCTGGGAGTGGGCGCTGGACCAGGGGCTGCAGCAGGCCTGGCCTCATTCCTCTCCCTGCTCCTACAGACGGCAGTGAGGGAGCACTGGAAGGAATGGTTCAGGGGCTGAGGCAGGGTGGTGTGTCCTTCCTGGGCCGGCCACAGCCCCTGACCCAGGAACAGTGGCGGAGCTCTTTCATGCGGCGCAATCGAGACCCCCACCTCAATGAGCGAGCACATCGCGTGCGGGCACTACAGAGCACCCTCAAGGTCAGTGGGGGACACCAGGCGTGATGAGGGACCCGGCTGTGGGTTTTAGGTTTCACTTACGGGCTCCTGGCTCTGCTCTGGGCTCCAGGCTTTAGTCTGGGCTCAGCTGTGGACTGAGTCTAGCTCTGTGTTCTCCTTGTGCCAGGCTGAACAGGTGCATAGGGTGCTTGAGTCAGCCCTGGGCTGGGGCTGTGCCCAATCCTTGGGTAATCACAGCTTCTTACTTTCTGTCCCCCTTGCAGGCAAAGATGCAGGAGCTACAGGCTCTAGATGAAGTGCTGGGTGACCCTGAGCTGACTGCAGAGAAGTTTCGCAGGTGGAAGGAACAGAACCAGGAACTGTACTCAGAGTGTCTGGGGGCCTGGGGAGTGGTGCCTGCAGACGGCAGCTCCCAAGCCCAGACCTCTGGCTCCACACAACACTCTCCCCTACCCTCTGGCCCACAGGAGCCCTCCCATGTTTGCCCCTTGACCCCAGAGAATAACCTCCAACCTCCTGACCTGTGACCCTGGCCAGTACCCTAGCTTCCGACTCCTGACCCTGAGGACCACCTCATCCCCAGCCCCTGACATACCTAAGACAGCCTATCCCTAGGTTCTGTTCAGGGCTGGAAATAGTGCCAATATCATTTCTGCTCCTGTTTCCCTTAGAGTGGGATAAAGTGAGCTATTACCACCCTCTCTCCTGAGAAACCACCCCCATCCTCAGATTTGAGGGGCACACCCTAACCCTTAAGTACTGCTCACTTCCTCAAATTGATTCTGGACATGAGATGCACTTTTCCATCAAATAAAGTCAGTTTCTCTGAATTGAATCTATGTGTGCCTGTACTTTAGAGCCAAGAACTTGCCTCCCAGAGAGGACTGGAAGGAATGGCCTTACAGCTGGGGTGAATGCTGTTGGCCCCAGTGTGGGTGATGAGCCCCCTGTACACCCAGGGCTGCATCCGAAGCTCCTGCCCGCCAGGGTGAAGGGCTGTGGTCCATGGCCAGGGAAGGCTCCTAACTCACATTCACCCCTCTCCAGACCCTGAGGGGCCAGAGGTTCTTCCCTGCCCTATCTCCAGTGAGGACAGATGGGCAGGTGGCGAAACAAGGACAAGGGCTGCGGTGCTGAGCTGGGTGGGGGCAGGTAGATGAAGGGGGTGGTGCAGCAGGAGCATGGAGAAAAAAGGTACCCATACAGAGCATCTTTCCTCTCTTTACCTCAGCCTTACTCCAGTTTCTATATCCAGAGCAGGACCATGTCCCCCAACCCCATCCCAGCCACACAGGACGCCTGGCCTACTCTCATCAGCCTCTGGCTCTGAGCCCGGCCCAGCACACAAGGGGCAGTGGGAAGAGGTCCTCCAGCTGGAAAGCCTTGCTAGAATGAGGAAGGCTGGAGGGCACAGCCACCTCCGTGAGGCCAAAACTGCCCTGAGCAAAGCTGCCTTGAGGGAGGAAAGCAGCAACGATCTGGTAGCAGCGAAGGATGAGGCAGACAATGTCAAACATTTAACATCCTGGTAGGCAGCCCCTGCCTGGCTCTCCCACTGAGGTGGCTGCCTGGGGTGGCCAGGGGCAGCAGCTACATTGAGCACCAGCCTCTCCCTCCTGCAGAGGACCACACAGCTGCCCCTGTCAGCAGCTACAAAGAGTAAATGCTCTTCAGCCAACTGGACATAATAAGCACAAAGGTAAGGATGGGAGGGCTGCTGCCTGAAGCTGCTGAAGCTGGAAATCCATTTTATGTGGGAGGGCAGGATGAGGCCTCATTGCCTAAAGCAGTCACGCTACCTCCCTCTTGAGAAGAACATCCTGCTTAATACTGTGGGCTCTTAGTCACCAGGCAATCCTGGGTCTTGCAACTTTGTAAGGTATAAATAAAGGCCCCTACTATCATTGAGGTTGGGGTGGCTTTGCCTATCAGGCTTAGTCCATCACCTGACTTCAGCTAGTATATCTTGTCTTTATTTTCTAAATCCTCTTGCCCCTTTCTCCCAGGGACTTCATAGAAATCAACATTTGCCATCTGCAACAGGGACCCCAGTAAGTAGACACTGATTGGTGGGAGGACATACCCCAGAATTTTGCTGGCAACAGGGTTGAAGAACAGATTGGTGGGTCAGTAGTTAGCACTGGAGTGTTATATTGACAGTTATCAGATGAAAAGCATGAAGCCTATTGATCTTAAAAAATATATTTGAAAAATGAATGTAGAGAGAATTGAAGGGACAGCAAGATAGCTTAGCAAACTAAGTGCCTGCTTTGGCAAATGTAGGGATCAGGGTTCGATCCCTGGTTTCGCATGCCACACTGGTCCTGCCGCCTGGGGCTCACTGAGTCAGTGACCAAGTCCAAGTGGGGTGGTGCAGTCCTATAATACCACCTCCGGGGAGGCTAGTTGAGACCCTGTACCAAATACATTAAAAAAAAAAGAAAGAAAGAAAGAAAGAAAGAAAGAAAGAAAGAAAGAAAGAAAGAAAGAAAGATCAGTTTGAGAAAAGCCAAAAAAGGAAAATGTTAGATTGAGTTAAAAATGGGACAAATACAGTCACCAGAATTATAGGGGCTGGGGAGATGGCTCAGTAGAATAAGCGCTTGCCTGGCAAGCACAAGGGCCTGAGTTCAACCACCGATTCTGCTTAAAAAAAAAAAAAAAAAAAAAAAAAAAAAAGGGAGATGCATGTTTTGTTTTTTTTAAATTTTTTTTTTTTAACATTTAGTGTGTGTGTGTGTGTGTGTGTGTGTGTGTGTGGCCAGCTCAGCCCACCAGGGGGCGGGGCTGGCTGGCATGTGGTGCTGGGGTATTGAACCGCAGTCCCTGTGCTTTGCCAAGCTTGTTCTAAGTAGGTGCTTTAGACCACTGAGCCATCTCTCCAGCCCCTAGAGGTATATGTCTGTAAAAGAGGTTTTGGCATGCTTGATTTCAGTATTTCCTTTTTTTTTTTTGTACTGGGGATTGAACTCTGGACCTCGTGCTTGCCAGGAAGGTACTGATGCCATTGAGCAATCTTCCCAGCTTACTTTTCTTTTTTGGATTGTGGTTAAAAGTGTTTTTTTGTTATTATTTATTTATTTATTTTTAGGGAAGGATCTACAGGGTGTTCAGGGTCTCACTACTAGATCAGACTTGTAGTGATCCGCCTGTTTGCAGCCTCCCAAGAGCTGAGCTTACAGGCACGCTCCACCACGCCCAGTCTCTAAAAGTGGTTTTGCAACCACAAAAGACTCAGCTCCCAATAGTTGGGGGGCCGGCCACGATGCTCTGTGTTGAAGCCTGCATTCCAGGATCTCCAGCCGCTGCCCGGAGATTCACTGAGAGTAAATGCCCAGGCAGAGGCCCTTCCTGGTGACACCTGCCTGAAATCTCCGCCCTCTCCCAGAAGGCGGGGATGCACGAGTTCATTACTCCCGTGGACACCAAGAAGCTGCTGCAGCATCCAGCCGTGCAGCTGATGCTGGCCTGGCTGCTGGAGAGTGGCGCCATCGCCATTGTGTTCCAACTCCATAACCATGTGGCATGCCAGCCTGACCTCTATCCCCATGGGCTCTAGTGGGGACTCAGGGCCCCACTTCTTCCTGGGGTCATGGGCTCCTTGTCTGTCGATATGGTTGGTTGAACGCTCTCCAAGGATCTGTCAGGTCTAACCCTTCAAGAACCAGAAAATCAAGGAAGACTTCATGGTGGAGGAAGCTATGGAGTCTGCCCTTGAGGAAGGTGCTGGATTTGGAGGACAGAGTGTTGTAAGCAGAGGCAGAAGATGGGCAGCTCCTGAAGAGTGGATCAATCTTAGTGACAGTCAGTCAGGGAGAATCACCCTGGGCCAGGTGCTGACTGCTCAGTGCCAAGGTTCCAGGTATAAGCACAACAAACCCAACTGCTATTTCAGACAGACTATTATAAATGCCTGATTAGGCCAGGCATGGTAGCACATGCCTGTAATCTCAGCATTCAGGAGCCAAGGCAAAAGGATTGTCTCAAGTTCAAGGCCAGCCTAAACTCTACAGTGAGACTGGAAAAAAAACCCATATATATATCTGAGTTTTGTGATGCACATCTGTAAATCTTGCACTCTTAGGAGGCAGAGATAGGAAGATTACAAGTTTGAACCCAGCCTAGAAAAACCCAGTGACTTAGAAAGACCCTGATTTTGGGTTTTGGGGCCGGGGAGATTGCTCAGTAGAGTAAGCACTTGCCTGGCAAGTGCAAGGGCCTGAGTTCAGTCCTTGGTTCTGCCAAAAAAAAAAAAAAAAGAAAAAAGAAAAAAGAAAGACCCTGGTTTAAAAAAAACAAAAACTAAAACTAAAGGGCCAGAGATATAGCTCAGTGCCACCTCCTTGAATTTAATTACTAATGCAGTCACCAAAATAAAACAAACAAACAAAAAAACTTGAGTATCAGAGTACATGGGAAGGCTTCCTGGGAAGGGTGATGTAATAAGGATAAAGAATGAGGAATGGGTACAATGACTTCTTTCTATAATTCCAGCACTCAGGAGGCTAAGGCAGGAGGATCATGAGTTTTAGGCCAACTTGGACTACACAGTGAGACCCTGTCTCAAATAAAAGGAAGTGACCAGACAGGTGTTTTAGAAAATCTGCAGGGTCTGCCCCAGCATGGGCCATTAAAAGGAAGAGGCCAGGACTAGGGGAAGATGGGCCCAGAAGAGGTGAAGAGATGCAGGTGAAAGATGCTGGGACTTGGACCAGGACAGTGGCAGTGGGTGACAAAAGGGCAGACATACTTGGAGGCTCTCCAGGAGGTGAACCAGTAGCCTTCTTGTTCCATCACAGAAGAACTCATGTTTATAATAAGCTATTTTTTCATTTGTTTGTTTGTTTGGCAGAACCAGGGATTGAACTCAGGCCCTTGAGCTTGCCGGGGAAGCGCTTATTCTACTGAGCTAATCTCCCCGGCCCTTTAGTGAACTCTTACTCTGTGCTACCTTGTGTCAACACATGTAAGCAAAGATAGCAGGAAGTTAAGCTTCTGGCTTTGGCATCCGCATTGAGGCTGGTATCTCTGTTGTTGCTTTTGTCTTGTTTTGTTTTGTTTTGCTTTTTTCAGACAGGGTCTGGCTATGCAATTCAGGCTGACCTTGACCCCACTGTGGAGCTCAAGATGGCCTTGAATTCATGATGATCTTCCTGCCTCAGCCTTCTGAGTGCTGAGATTACAGGCATGTTCCACCATGCCCAGCCTGGGGCTGGTGTTTTGTTTTGAGACATACATAGGTCACTACAAGGCTCAGCAGGAAGCTCTTCCTTTAAGAAGACAACCATAGTCCTGACAGCACTTTGGGGATTTGGAAGAGGCAGGGTGCCCATGAACTTTAACCTCCAGCTGGGTAGAAGAAGCAGAAGGCTTCGCAAGTATGGCAGTGAGCCTCAAAATGCTGAGACTGTTAGCCATTGGTGTAAAGAAAGGGAGGAGCCAGAGTGACTTTGGTGATATCCCATGGAATGAGGAGATAAGGTTGTTAGTTGGGTCACAGCTATAGGGAAGCTGAAGGAGTAGGATTGAGGTGGAGCAGAAGGGAGTTGGTTTTTGACAGACCCTAGTCATCCTTTCAGGGTACCTGTCCTGGACCCACAGAGGAAAAGACATCAAGAATTTAAGTGATAGGCATGGATGGAACCATGGAAAAGCAGGAATTTTGGGGACAAGCAGGAAAGGGCGCTGGGTCTTGGTGTCCTCCAGCTCCATGGCTCAGGCCTCTTCTTCCCTCTCCTAAACCTGTTTAATCTCTCTCCCCACACTTCATTTCCCCAAGTACTACCGCCCTAAAGGTTAGGTGCAGAGGTCTGTGGTAGATGGCAATCCTCAGGG